AAGAGCGTCTCAAACAATGTCAGACCTGTTGAAACTCAATAAATATTAAATGTTCCGCTTCCCCCTTTTCCTCCCTAAATTATAAGCTGCTTAATGGACGGAAACTCTATTATCTCATATAAAAAAATCCATCATCATCCAGCATAGGGAAAAGCATATCCTAGAGGATCAACAGCTGTTGTTATTCAGAATGGTAGTGATGTTAACCTTTCAGCAGTCTGCAGTGTTCAAAGTGACTGCATACCCGAGCCCATTTGATTCTTAAAGCGACAGGTAGACAGGGTTATGCCCACCTTGTAGGTGGAGAAACGAGGTCCGAACCTTTCAGCAGTCTGCAGTGTTCAAAGTGACTGCGTACCTGAGCCCATTTGATTCTTAAAGCGACAAGTAGACAGGTAGACCTTGTAGGTGGAGAAACGAGGTCCAGATGTGTTCAAAGTGTCATATGCTGTGTTGAAAGTGTCATAGCCAGTAAGTTCAGGACTCAAACCCAGACTCATTTCTGAAACCATACTTGTCCTTCTAAGTGGTGGCACTGCTGATACGTATTGCTGCCTGATAGTCTGGGTTTAGCCCGTCATAGCCAGTAAGTTCAGGACTCAAACCCAGACTGTCATTTCTAAAACCATACTTGCCCTTCTAAGTGGTGGCACTGCTGATACGTATAGCTGCCTGATAGTCTGGGTTTAGCCTGCGGCCCCGCTGTAGAGCAGCCTGGACACTTTAAACGTGGCAGAGCCAAGGCCGGGGCTCCTTAGAGACAACATCTGGCTTGGGAGACGGCATTCGACTGTTCTCTCCTCAAACTCAGAGAACACGCTGGCTTTCAGGACGCTCTCCCCACAGTTTGGTCTCCATGCGCTTTGTCTGCGTTGTCGTGAACGTGCTCGCTAATGAAGGCTTTGCCCCTTCCTCAGCATGCCTGCCTGTTATGCCCGGGTGACAGCAGTCTCAGGTGAGTCTTGTCAGATACCTGGGACGTGACCCAGACTCTCACCCTGCTTCTGATGGAGGCAGAAGCAGCTATATCAAGTTGGGTGTCACCCTCTTGCTGGCGACTAGATATTTCACATTCTTTTCCTATGGCTTCACTGTAGATCGATCATTTCAGTGAAGGCTCAACAGTTGCAACACAGCTGCCAGAGAGCCCTCAGCTGAGCGACGCCAGCCTTAACCTCCGGTAAACTTCTTTTGCCTGTGACACACTGAGTGGGCGGAGCCATTATGTTTACTGCTCTTTCAAAGAAAACACCCCAGAGAAGGGAGCGGGGGAAGCCAGGGCTCTGCTTGCTGGCTCACGTTTGCATAGTTTACTCTTTGAAGAAAATGTTACTGTGAAAAATACCTTCGTTATAAGATAACGTCCATTTAAAACTGCTGAGATGTTAGCCTCACTTTATGGGGTAGGAAGCCAAATTGACATTTCATCATTGTTAATCCTTCCCCAGCTGAGTTTCCTTCACTTGAAATTTGAGTATTTTATGACTCACTTTTGTATGTGTTTTCTAAACCACCAGACGATCAATTCCAACCTCTGGAATTTTGAGTTACTCCTGTCATGATCGCTGAAAAGGGAAAAACTAGTGATTCAAAAAAGAGGAGGAAAAAGTCAGGAGAATTTTGCGACAGCATCGAGAGAGAGAAAAAACATGGAAGCAGCGTTTCCACCCGTGGGATTGCTTCTCACGAGGGGAAAGGGATGGGTATGTGTTTGGTCTGAAATGGTCATGAGCACAATTATGGCTGTATTACTTCGGAATTGGGAGGTATTTGAGCATGACTTACTTAGTTATCCTTCAATCCTTTTACTAAAGCCTCAACGCGTTACAGAACTTCAAGTGGGCCACTCCGTGGGGATTAGCAGATGAGGACAGTGACTGAGACAGGACATTAGAGGACTTTTAACATGTAGATGGAAGACGAGGCAAAACACAGAAAACGGCTCTTAGTACGTATGTGATCTTCCATAAAGCGAAGCAAATGTACAGGCGCCTCACTGAAGATGCATGGAAGAGACCCTGCAGTTTCTGATGGGGCACGCGTGGTAAGGGTCAGGAATGGCACGAACCTCATCAGCACAGATTAGTCGTGTAAAATGTCCTAGATGCCCTTCTTCGGTATGTAGCTCACATAATTTTATCTTTGTGAACTCTATTTTTCACATAAGATTTCATGTTTCTTAACCTCACAATCTCCCACCCAGCCCTTGGGTGGACACGCACAGCTGAGCACGGTCCAGCACCCAAGGTGCTCGAGCTGGAGACCAGGCACATGACAGTTGTCAGTGCCCCAGTAGGCCGTGCGCTGTACGCTTAGGGGACGATGGGTTCCACCAGGGGTGCTGAGGTGGGGAAAGTGGAGATGTCATCCCAGCACGATGACAAGCAGACTGTGTGCTCGTCTGAGAAGAGGAAGGGCATTTCGGACAGAGAATACAGCATGAGCAAAGGCCCTGAGGTGTGAGATGTCACGGCTTGTTCAGGACCCCCTTGCCCGAGATCAAGGGAACAGGGGGATAGGGCAGGTGACAGGAAAAGTGTAGGAGCCACCCTCTAATGGACCTCCCTGGCCAAGCCATCCGCTGTAGGCAGCAAGGAACCACTGGAGGATTTAGAGCCTCACAGTGTCACTAGATCTACTTTTTGGAGAATAACTGGCAAAGGAATGACAAATGGCTTGGAAAGGAGAGAGTGTTTGCAACCCACCGGGTAGGAGGTGACGAGGGCCTGAGCTGGGCAGTGACTATGTCTACGGAGGATTGGAGACTGGCCAAGGAGGGACCTGGTGCTGGAACTGTCAGGGCGAGTGACGGATGAGATGGTGGGGGTGACAGGTAGGGAGGGGTTGGCGATTTATGGCTTGGTGATTAGGCGAATGGTGCTGTGATGAGACGGGGAGCACAGAGGACAAACAGGTTTGGGGTGTAGGCTTGGGGGAGGGGTTGGCGAGAATACACTCCAGTCACAAGTGCTGATGCGTCTTCTTTGCAGCAGTGGCGTCTGGGCTCTTAGGTTCCAAACTGACATCGCCAGGGGCTAAGGTCTTCGAGAGGCTGCAAGCCGGGGAAACCACAGTTGCTGGAGCTAGACTGCCTGGGATCAGAATGTCTCAGTGTCCTTATCTGTAAAATAAAAGTGTCACCTCATAGGATCGTTCAGAGAATGGAAAGAGGCGATACATGTCAAGTGCTCAGAACAGGGCCCGGCACATTCTAAGCACTGTATAGATATTTGCTAAGGCCATGGGTGTCCCACGGACAAACTTATGCCCACTTTCCCCCCTTCTGTTTTAAAAGTACTTCAATTTGCTCTCAAACCAACATTTGGAAGACAGACACCTGAGTTCATTCATTAAACAGTGATCACTGCAATGCAGTAACTGACGACAAAGTAGGACGCTTTGTGTAATTGTTCCCTTATCCTCATTACCTGCATGGAAGACATTTACTGGACATCTGCTGGTCAGACGGGTCTCCATGGAGCCATGAGAAATGGCCCCCGGTCTCGAAGGCCTACTGCTGAGTTAGGAAAACGAGCCACAAGCAAAGGTCGTCCACGGGAAATGCTGAAGCTACGATGTGCTGAGTGCGGAGGAATCGGAAGACCAGCGGGAGAAGCCGGGGCAGCCCCAGCCTCTGTGCACCGGGTGGCGGTTGGGGGTGCTGGGTGATAAAGGGCGGCATCCCAGGCCATCCCGCCCACTGACCCTCCGGTGAGGAGGGGCGAGCAGAGGAGCTCCGGGTCAGCGTTGCGAAGCACCGTCCTGATTCTGACGTAGGTCCCTGAGCTGCACTTTGAGAAACCGTGGACAGAGTGACGAGTGGAGAGGACCCCCAGGAGTGGGAGAGGAGGCTCCTGCCTTACGCCCGAGCAGCGGGGCCGCCCAGGGCACATGGGACTCCAAGCAGAGACCTTCCCAGGGAGACTTTTATTCTGGTGTGAATTTCTAAGGAGAGAAAGGTAAAAATAAGTCAACTTGTTTTATAAAAGTGAGCTAAAAGACCAGGTTCTTAACGTCTAACATGGTAAAGAACATGTTTTTCCTACTTTAAACTTTGGGAGTTTTAAAATTCAGAGACCACCTTTTTCATTTTGAGTAATGTTTAACTTAATCGCTTAATCTGAATTAATGTGAACAACGATGGTGACAAAAGGTAATTACATTTAAGTGATAGTGTAACTTCAAAATTCCTTTGGGAATATCTGTGAGTCATCCAGGTCAACGCAAATATCCATGAAACATGTACTAACTGTTCCAGAAGGAAATAATTGTCGCAGGAAGGCAAAAGGTCAAGTGAGCTAAAAGACCAGGTTCTTAATTCATCGAGTCAATAAAAGAACTCTCGTAAGCTCTTCTCAAGCTGTCGCGTATTAGCAGGTAAGTCTGGCACTAGAATCGCTGTGTGTGTAAATACTTCACGAGGGCACAAAACACAGGAAACGTAATGAAGAGCTTCTCATGAGAGACTTACTACTGTGTGAATTCACTCAGCCTTCAAGAATGCAGAGGTATTTTAAATTTTAAAACATCATCATCTGCCTACTCGAGATAAAAATACACCATTTTAACTATCTGCAATATGTAATAATTCACAGAACTTTTACAGCAGCCACACTTTTTAAATTCTATTCAAGGCTCTTTCTCTTCTTCTAAGCAATATATCTTTCTGTGTAAATATAGGGTTGAATTAATACTGATTTTTTTTTCTAAGTGGCTTTGTGCCAATGGAGGAAAAAAGCCCAAGAAGAAAACAAAGAACTATAGACACCCCCGGCCCTGGGTTCCCCTCCTTCTCTGAGCATTGGAAGTCTCCACTCCTGGGTGGCAGTGACGGGCCTGCTGTGTCCCCTTTCCATGAGGTAAGGTACCCCGCGGCTCAGCTCCCTGTTAACCATCATTACTTCCTCATGATAATGTTGATTGAGCTGATGGCAGAGGAGCCAAAGCTGGCGGGTAGAAGACACTCCCTTTGCTTTTAAATCTAACACAGAATCTTGAACTGCCTAAAGAAACCTGCATTTTTTTTGAAGGATTAAGAGGAAAAAAAAAACCTATGCTCAAAACGTATGAGATATGTCTGTAGATTAATGAAACATTTGGGCCAATGTTCTGCATTCTCGTGGGAAAAGACTCTCATTGTACCTTCTGTGATTAAATATTTTTTAATTTAAAAAAATTTAAAGCTTTTGTTTTAATCTACTGTGACCAAACCTTTGCTACAGTTGCAGATTTGTCTAGATATATTAAATATTAAATGAGAAACATAAAATGTTCAATACAAAATATGTGCTTAACAAATGTGTTTCATACCTGTTTTCCATGTTTTGATGATATAAATTTGATACTAAAACAACTAAAAACACAAAGTTTAATTCCATTTCAGCACGAAAATGCTAATTTGCATGGCTATGAGTTTATACTAACAATTTAAAGACTTTTTTTTTCCAGAAGTATCTGCTACGTTCTCTTTTCAGCCCCTCAAAGTATCTGCTCTGAGACCATGTGAAATCTCACTTGGTTTTATTTCCCTTTAGGTTAACCACCTAAATGGTAAAAATTATGTTTCATTCCAGTGGTATGGAATTTAATTTTTTTTAAAATAAAATAACATTTGTTCATAAAGAGATTCTACCCAAATCAACAAATACCACTTTAGTGGCAAAATAATTTGTTACTTCTCCTGAAAGGAGATTAGACATTTGGTCCCCGCCCCCTCAGCAAGGCCGCTCCCTGGAGCCGGTGAGCCTGCAGGTGGAGTCCAGCCCTCTTTCCTCCTCCGTGCTCCAGCTGAGCTGTGTGAACATCTATCATGGCGCTTAGCCTACTTCTGCCTTATTTCATAATTGTGTACCTTTGTAGTTTAGAAATAGCTGAGGCAAGTATTTAGGCAGAGACCGGGTTAGTGGAGACCACCTACGGGGTGCCCTGTGCCAAAGAGGGGTGCCTGCAGCAGAAGAGAAATGGCCGCCCAGTCTACTAAGGCTCCCCTGGTTGGGGAGGGGATCTAGAAGCACCTTCATGCTCCCAGCGAGGACACGGAAGGCAGCTGGTGGCACTGAGGCCAGAGGGAGCTGAGAGGAGCAATCGGTAGGGGGTCCCCGAAATGCAGGCTCCACTGTCGGGGCCCTGTCACCCCTCCTGCCAGCACCAGCACCACCTACATCGGAACCTGGCAAGGACCCAGAGGACACATATAGAGCAAGGGCCCTTCTGCCATTTCACCCTTGAACCCAGAGGCCATCTGGGAAAGGAGACAGAAGGGAAAAACAGCCCTAGTAGGGCTTTGAACTTAACTTTACTAAATATTTATTCCAAAGTGACTGTTTTAACCCCAAAGAGACTAAGATATCCTCCTAGGGAAGACTAAAGACTCGAGGTGGCATTGCTCACTCCTTGCTGCCCTCCCGGCAGGGTGAGTAAAGGCCTGGAACAAGTTACAGATAATAAAGTCACGTGGCATTGTTTTTGTATGTTGCGTGAGGAAATAAATTTTGACTCTGCTAATATTGTAAGTTCCTTGAGAGCAAAGACTGCTTAAGTTTCTAGAGAGACAGTGTCATGTGATAATTTATTACAGGTTAGCTGTGTGACTTTGGACAAGTGACTCAAGCCCTCTGTGTGTCAGTTTCCCCTTCTGTAAAACGAGAATAATAATAGTACCTGCATCATGTGTTTGTTGTGAGGATAAAATTAACATCTCATTTATTCATTTAACTCAGTTACTATATATGAAAAACTATACTAAGCACTTAGGAAAGTGTCTGGTCTGTAACAGACATTATGTTAGCTTTGATTATTATTAGGTCCTACCATAAGACTAGAACAAACTTGGATGCTAACAGCTATAAAGTTTCTAACATTAAATGATATTATTAGTTGTTTCACCCATAATACCATAGCATATTATGTACATGTAAGATGTTAAGGCTTTGAACTTGAGAGAAAAGACCACATATACATTGTTCATTGCTTACCAACAGACAGTTTCCCCATCTTTCCCTGTTAACAGTAATCTCATTTTGCTCAAATATTAGACAAAGAGCCTTAGTCCTAGGGAAGGTAGGAATGCATCGTGACAACCTAAACCAATCATGGTAATCCTAGTCCCCTTTGGGCAAATGACACAGTTCTGGCCAATGAATCTTTGCTTCTTCCATACCCTGCCAAATCCCTCTCCTGAGCAGAGGAGTTGTTCCTTGCTTTTTATAGCTAAGTAGTATTCCACTGTGCGGACACACCACATCTATTGCCTGTTGATGGTCATTTGGGTTGTTTTCCTTTTTGGCTCTTCCAATTAAAGTTGCTATTGCTATTTGTATAAGTCTTAGTGTGGAAATATGTTTTGATTTTTCTTGGACAGACACCTAGGAGTGGAGTGACTGGAACACACGGGAGGTGTATTTTTCACTTTTAAGGAACTACTGAACTGTTTTCTAAAATGATATTGCCACCAGCAGTGGGAACACCAGTTGCTCCAAATTCTTGCTAACACTATGGCCGGTCTTCTGAAATGTTAGCCATTCCAGTGGTGTGTGATAGTATCTTCTTCTGGTTTTAACTTGCATTTTCCTAATAACTAATAATGTCGAACACATTTCACATGCTTATTTGTTCTCTGTATATTTTCTTTGGTGAAGTGTCTGTTTAAATCTTTTGCCCATTTTTAATTGCTATCTTTCTTATTATTGGGTTGTAAGAATTATTTGTATAGATACAAGTCCTTAGTCAGATATGCGTTTTGCAAACATTTTTTCCCAGCTGGTGATTTGACTTCTCATTTTCATCACAGTGTCTTTTGAAGAGCAAAGAGGAAATAGATAACCTGAATAGCCCCATATGTATTAAAGAAATAGAATCTGTAGTTGAAAACCTTCCCAAACCATACCCCGATAAGCTTCACTACTAAACATTTAAGGAATAGCTACACAAATGCTTCTAGAAAATAAAAACAGAGAAGAGAATGCTTCACAACTCATTCTGAGATGCCAGCATTACTCTGATACCAAAACCAGATAAAGAAAGCTACAGAACACATTCCTTATGAACATGGAGGCAAAAATGCTTAACAAAATTTCAGCAAATCAAATTCAATAATATCTAAAAAGGATAATAGATCATGACCAAGTGGGGTTTCTCCCAGGAATGCACGGTTGGTTTAACGTTTGAAACGCAATATAATTTACCGTATTAACTGACTAAAAAGAAAAACCATTCCATTATCTCATAGATGCAAGAAAAGCATTTGAAAAAAACCCGTCATTAAGTCTTGATAAAAATCTGTCAGCAAACTAGAAGGGAACTTAACCTCACGAAAAGCATTTATGAAGACCTCTTTTCTATTTATACTAAGTCCTTATGAGATCCCATCTAGTTTCACAGTTTTGAAAACTTATTTATATTCTGGAGATTTTTACATTTATATTGTCCCAGACCTCTAAACGATGGATTTTCCCCCCAACTGTCTATTTTGACATCTCTTTCATATCTAACAGGCATCTCAAACTCAACATGCCCCCAACAGAACTGATTTCCCAATCTCCACCTTTCTCAGGGTTCTCTGTGGTATGAGGCCTAAAATTAAGACCCAACATTATGTGCTGCCTTGACATCCAGTGAAGTGGGGAAGGGCTTTGGCCCTTCCCACTTTGGCCCAAATGGCCTACCTACAAGTTCCCGTCTCCTCCGCGCCCGTGGAAAGGTCCCCTAACCAAACACACCTTATCAAGAAGACCAGGAGCAGTTCCTGCCTAACCCAGGGTAGTGGGCTTGTTTCCTGCCAGCCCACGAAATTATTCTAACTAGCTAATCACACCCCCACTGGGATCACTCCATCCTCCCACAATCCCTGGCTGTTCACTGTTTCCAAGTGGGTCCCTACTGGCTTTGTGCAAGTGTATGTGATTAATAAATTGCTGTTGGTCTCATCTGTTCAGCCATGCCCACAGCCCTAGGGTGAGAATAGCTAACCTCACAAACAGGATGAATAGGAAGCACGGAAAGCAGCCCTATCATGATAAATGGTACCTTAACTCAATTGCTCAGGAGAAAAAATTGGCATTTTCATTTCTCACACTCACAACCAACGCATCACCAAATCCTTATTTATTTCATGCTTAAACTGTATCTGGGACTCAATGACTTCACTCACACTCCAACCTGCTGTCTAAAGCACCATCTCCTGCCTGAGCCAGCACGCCAGTCTCTAAAGTGGCCTCTCTGCCTGTGCCCATTGCCCCTGCAGGCTGGTCACCACAGAGCAGCCAGAGAGATCCTTTTATGACATGGGTTGGATTACATCATTCTTTTGCTCAGCATTTTCTGATGGCTTCTTGTGACAACTCAGATAAAAGCCAAAGCCCTTACCACGGCCTCGAAGATAGCCTCTTCCATCCCACCTGATACCCCTCTCCCCTTCGACCATGACACGCAAGCCGCCCTGAATCCACCTGCTGTTCCTGACTCCACTGCACGAACCTGCCTCAGAGCCTCTGCGTGTCCCCTCTGCCTAGAACGAGCCTCCTCTAGAGAGCTATGTGTCTTGCTCCTTCGTACTGTACTTCCTACAAGTTGGTCTCTGCTCACAGTCACCTGCCCAGAGGGTTCTTCCTCGATCACTTTTTATAAAATAGCCCGACCTATCACTTATCTCTTACCTTGCTTGTGCTTCATTGCAATTCATTACCCCAAATAGTATATATTTGCTTGCTATCTGCCCCTGCCCAATTAGAAGATCCTTAAAGGCAGGAGTCTTGCTCAGTGCTGTATCTCCAGTGCCTAGAATGTGCCTGGAACATAGAATTTGCTCAGTAAACATGTGTTGCATAATATGTGTGAGTTTGAGTATCCTGTTTTTTTGGCTTGGCCTTTGTATTTCTTTTTTTTCAAAAAGCTATCTTTTCATACCTCTTGCCCAGTTTGTCTTTTTCCTCTTGCTTTACAAGACCTATTGATATGTTAAGAAATTAATTCTTCATCCACCATATGCTACAAATATCTTTTCCCAGTTTGTCGTTCACTTTTGACTTTGTAGTCACATTTTCAATCTTTTCCTGTCAGCTTTTGGTTTTGAGGCATGCTTAGAGAGTTCTAGTCCATTCCAAAGTCATCAAAGCATTCACATTTGTTTTCTTCTAATATTTTATATATGTATCTATAAAAGATGATAATTTTTAGGTGTTTGATCCATCTGGGATTCACTTTAAGGCATAAAGAATAAGGAAGTGATCTAGTTTGAAAAGAAAATTTAGCTCTAAGATACAGTGAATACAAATTTCTGGAAACCATTCATATAACATTGTTGTTTTAATTTTCTCAAAGAAAATTCAGAATTTAAAAAATAAATTCAAAGCTCAGTTTTTAAATATACATATCTATAAGCACATTGATACATACACGGAATATATGTACGAATGCCTATGTATGGATGGATATATATGCAAAAAATCCTATTTTCCACAATTCTCTGGAATATTGTATTACAATTTGACATTACTGTCACTATTAAAATATTTTCTCAAGAAAGCTTCTGTTTTACTTTTCTCATTTTCTTACTTTCCTGGATCTTGAAGATTTCTTTTTTGTTTTACTGTATTTTGTTTTAAAAAGTCTCTTTTCAATTAAGCTCACTTCTTCATGGAGAAAGGAGGTCTTTATTCTTAGCAGGAAGGAGAAGAGATTTAGTATAAACTGATAACTCAGAGAAAAATTTGATTCTTCATAGGTTGTCACATGTTTACAGTAGCTAGAAGGGAAAGAAAAAAGAAAACGTTCTTTTTAAATGGCCATTTGGAAATGTATGCATTTAGCCCTTAAATGTCTCCCAAACAAATATATACGTTTAGGCTTAAAATAGTAATCTGAGCTGAAAGGAAACTTAGAACAATTTGGTAAAACTCCTTAATTTTACAATTTTACAAAGGAAAAATAATTAGCGCTGCCCAGGGTCACCATGCAAGGGACACATAGGTGAAACCTTGAAGTTCTGCCACTCTGGTGGGTCCCCACTTCTTAGCATGATAAAGACAAACAAAAGCACACACAGAGAGCTTCTGTACATATTTTTAAAACAAACAAAAGGAAACAAATAACCCCAACTCCCACCAAAATAAGACACCAGACTTGCTAATATAGCTTGCAAACCGGTAGGAATTATAGATGGAAGAGTTTACAAAGTAATTTCACTTACTTCAAAGTAGTAGAACCTGAATCTGATCAAATCTCTAACTACCACCAAATCTTTAATTCTAATTACCAATCTCTAACTCTAACTCTACCAAGGTATAGGCAATCTAAGGGACAGAGGAACATGTTAGATGGTTCAGGGGCCTATGATGCCATTTATATGGCATGGAAAATTGCACAGAACATATGACCTAGATTACTCAACAAGTAAATTGCAAGGAGTAAAAAGGAGATAAAGGAGGAATTTACAAACTAAAACACTTAAGGGATATCTCAGCCACTTGCAATGTATGGACCTCATTTGGATTCTGAGTTATTTTAAAAAGTATATGAAAATTGGGAAAATCAAAACAGTTACTGCATGTTTGATGATATTAAGGATTCCTATTAGTTTTTTATGTCTGGTTACTGGTATTATGGTTTTGCTTTAAAAAACATTTTGATGTTTGGAATTTGCTTCCACATAATCTGAGGATGTGGGTAGAGGGCTGAGTTGGGGCATGGATGAGGCAAGTCTAGCCTTGCCTTGTTGACAATTGTTGAAGCTGAGTGACGAGCACAGGGGTTCATTCTACTGTTCTATTTTTGAATATACTTGAAAATTTCCATAATAAGAAGTTTAAAAAACAAGTAAGCAACATACAGAGAATACAAACTTTTAGATATTATGATTTATGTAACATACATGGTCCTAAATTCCTGAATGTTTATAATCACACTACAAAACTCTGCCACCTATCAGTTGTGACTATAGATAATTACTCTTGGTTCTCTCATCTACAAAACAGGAAAAAATAACAGTACCTACATCACAGGATGGACAAAAGGATTAAGTGTGAAATATATTAAGCACTTAACTCAATGGCTGGCACACAGTAAGGGCTCAAAAATGTTAATTTCTCTCACATGCCTTTAAAATTGATTTATTTTCACTTAAAATCTTAAAGCTATTTTAATAATATACAATAAAGCCAATACCCTGCTATGTTCAGTAGTAGAAATTTAGAAGTCTCAATGGTTTGTTCATTGATTGATTTTTTTTTTTAGTATTTATTTTAAATAGTTTTTATTTTTAAGTTATAGCTAACATTCAATATTATTTTACATTAGTTCAAGTGTACAGCACTGTAGTTAAGACACTTATATAGTTTACAAAGTGATCCCCCCGACAGGTCTAGTAACCACCTGGCACTATACATAGTTATTACATTATTATTGACTATATTCCTTATGGTATACTTTACACCCCTGTAACTACTTTGTAACTACCAATCTGTACTTCTTAATCCCTTCACCTTTTTTACCAGCCCCTCAACCCCCTTCCCATTTGACAACCATCATTTTGTTCTCTGTATCTATGAGTCTTTTCCTATTTCGTTCGTTCATTTATTTTGTTCTTTAGATTCCACATATAAGTGAGATCATATGGTATTTGTCTTTCTCTGTCTGACTTATCTCATTTAGCACAATATTCTCTAGGCCTATCCGTGTTGTCGCAAATGGTAAGATTTCATTTTTTTATGGTCGAGTAATATTCCAGTGTATATATGTGCCACGTCTTTATACAATAATCTACTGCTGTGCACTTAGGTTGCTCCCATACTTTGGCTATTGTAAAAAACACTGCAAAAAACACAGAAGGGCACATATCTTTTCAAATTAGTGCTTTGGATTTCTTCAGATAAATACCCAGAAGTGGAATTACTGGGTCACAAGGTAGTTCTACATTTACTATTTTGAGGAGCCTCCATACTGTTTTCTGTAGCAGCTGCACCACCTTGCAATCCCGCCAACAGTGCACGCGGGTTCTCTTTTCTCCACATCCGTGCTAACACGTGTCGTTTTCTGATTTATTAATGATAGCCATTTTGACAGGTGTGAGGTGATACCTCATTGTGATTTTAATTTCCATTTCTCTGATGATTAGTGACATTGAGCATCTTTTCATCTTTTCGTATGTCTTCTATGGAGAAATGTCTATTCAGTTCCTCTGCCCATTTTTTAAATTGGACTTTTTTTTTGGTGTTAAGTTGTATGAGTTCTGTATAAATTTTGGATATTGACCCCTTATCAGATGTATCATTGGCAAATACCTTCTCCCAACCAATAGGTTGTCTTTTTTTGTTGTTGATGAATTCCTTTGCTGTACAAAAACATTTTAGTTTGATTTAGTCCCATTTATTTATTTTTTCTTTTATTTCTCTTGCCTGAGAAGATATATCAGAAAAATATATTACCAAGAACAATGTCAGAGAGTTTACTGCCTATGTTTTCTTTTAGGAGTTTTATGGTTTTAGGTCTTACATTTAAGTCTTTAATCCATTTTGGGTTCGTTCTTGTATATAGTGTAAGAAGGTGATCTAGGTTCATCTTTCAGCATGTATCTGTCCAGGTTTCTCACCACCACTTACTGAAAAGACTGTCTTTACCCCACAGTATATTCTTGCTCCTTCGTCAAAGATTAACTTACCATGTAGGCATGGGCTCTCTATTCTGTTCCATTGACCTGTTTTTATGCCAGTGCCTTGCCGTTTTGATTACTATAGCCTAGTAGTATAGTTTGATATCAGGTAGTATGATGTCTCCAACTCTGTTCTTCTTTCTCAAAATTGCTGTGGCTATTCGGAATCTTTTGTGGTTCCATATAAATTTTAGAATTATTTGTTCTAGTTCTTTGAAAAATGCCATTGGTAGTTTGATAAGGATTGCATTAAATCTATAGATTGCTTTGGGTAGTATGGACATTTTAATGATGTTAATTCTTCTTATCTATGAGCATAGTATATGCTTCCATTTATTTGTATCTTCTTCAATTTCTTTTTTTTTCAATGTCTTATAATTTTCCGAGTCCAGGTCTTTTACAACATTGGTTAAATTTATCCCTAAGTATTTTTTTGATGTAATTGTAAATGGGATTGTTTTCTTAATTTCTCATTCTGATAGTTCATTATTGGTGTATAAAAATGCAACTGATTTCTGAATGTTAATTTTGCATCTTTACAGAACTCATTTATCAGTTCTAATAGTTTGTTTTTGTTTTTGTTTTTGTAGAATCTTTAGGGTTCTCTATATATAGTTCATGTCATCTGCAAATAATGACAATTTACCTCTTCCTTTCCGATTTGGATGCCTTTTACTTCTTTTTCTTTTCTGACTGCTGTCCCTAGGACTTCTAATTCTATGTAGAATAAAAGTGGTGTAAGTGGACATTCTTTTCTTGTTCCTGATCTTAAGGAAAATGATTTTAGCTATCTCTCATTGAGTATGATGTTAGCCGTGGGTTTGTCATATATGGCCTTTATTATGTTCCAGTATGTTCCCTCTATTCCTACTTTGCTGAGAGTTTTTATCAGAAATGGATGTTGGATTTTGTCAAATATTCTTTCTGCCTCTACTGATATGATCATATACTTTTTGTCCTTCATTTCATTTATGTGGTGTATCATGTTAACAGATTTGTGAATATTGAACCAACCTTGCATCTCAGGAGTAAATCTCACTTGATTATGGTATATAATGCATTGCTGGATTTGGTTTGCTAATATTTTGTTGAGGATTTTTATATCTATGTTCATCAGGGATATTGGCCTATAATTTTATTTTTTTTTGTAATGTCTTTGGTTTTTGACTCAGGGTAATGCTGGCCTCATAAAATAAACTTGGAAGCCTTCCCTCTTCTTGAATTTTTTGGAATAGTAGGAGAAGGATAGGTGTTAATTCTTTGAATGTTTGGTAAAATTCACCTGTAAAGCCATCCAGCCAAGGATTTTTTGTTGGGAGTTTTTTTGATTACTGATTTGATTTCATTAGTAGTAACTGGTCTGTTCAGATTTTCTGTTTCTTCTTGATTCAGTCTTGGAAGATTGTATGTTTCTAGAAATTTATCCATTTTTTCCAGATTGTTTAATTTGCTGGCATTTAACTGTGTGTAGTATTCTCTTATAATCCTTTGTATTTCTTTGGTGCCAGTTGTCATGTCTCAGTTCTGATTGTTCATTGATTAATTTAATAGAAATAAAATATAAGTAATTTTATTTACAGGAATTCTTACAAATGTGGTGGGCTATTGCTTTTCTTTTCTAATTTTTAATTTCAGCTGTTTTCAGTTACAAATAAATCTTAAAAAATTCAAATCAAACCTTTGTGGGACACCCTAAGCCCCTCCATTTTATGTGGAAGACAACTTGAAAAACCCTGGCTCTGCCTCTTCTTGTGGGAGGACAAATGAACTGCCTGCTCTTCTCAGGGAGGACAGGGGTGGACACTCCACTCGCCGGTGCCCATGACAGGTCTCTGGACCCAGCTGATTGTCAGCAACTGGCCAATTCATTCACAAAGGGGGACTTCTACGAATGTGAGGACTATTAAGGGTGTTCAGATTCCTCAATCAAGATCCTGAGCTCTGCTCAGATAAAAGGGATAAACAACCTTCCACATCTGAAGTGCTCTTGCAGCCTTTCTCTGGTTAGTTCTCAAGGCCTGAGTGTTCGCGCGATTATTTTACAGGACATTTGTCTCTTTGAACCCCCAGAAAAGAGTCCTTCTGTGTAACAAAATTATATAGCTGAAGACCTGCTCTCTTAAGTATCAAAACATTTCATTTTGACCATTTTGGATGGAAATCTTAAAAACTGAGTTAAAATTTTTGGTTACCTTAGAGCATATCCAATATAATTTTTTTGCTTTCACAATTATATTATTACAAGTCTACTTTTATTGTGAAATTTTAGAAAACACAGTAAGAAAAACAAAATCAAAGAGAATGTATGCAGCATTCTGGGACACAGTCAGGCTTATTTACGTGAAGCTGTTAATTACGTGTCATGAATGAACTTCAGACTGCTATAATTTCCGTTCTTTTCTCTGCTTTTGATTCTGATGCTGGCTCCTCTATTGTTTGTCAACTGGATGTCATTTATGTTTGCTGTCTAAATACCTCTCAGCAGAACACTTCTCAGTCTCCTTCTTACTGTGTTTCTTTTGATGCTTAGGAATCTGAAAATGAGACAACTCAGCCTGACAGAAACACGCCTGAAGGCAGAGTAAGCAGGCTCTGAGTGAGGGGCTAAGGGGCTTCCTGAGGAAGGTGCATAGCTTTAGTCACAGACTCTGTGACATTTTTATTGGTTGGCTGAAGCCGTTTTTGCTTACTCTTTGGTTCTAGGCCATGGTCTAAATAGGCAAGGCTGACAGATGATTTTAGTACATGAACTCCTGGTATAAGTGACACTTTGTATATTTTAGTTTTTAGCTGCCTAGTTCATGCAGAGAAAACGATCTCGACTGTTTCATCTCTGACTATCCCCAGGTCTATTTATAATTAAATATCTTGCATTACAGTATTAACTCTTTGAAGTACACCCAAAAATCCACTGACTATGCCTCTTGAAAGACATAAAGATGTAAGCTGCCCGCTAACTCAGCCAGAAGCAACTCTGCAGGCCGCCGAGGCAGAGAGCGCCAGCGCGGCACGTCCGCCCCTCACCGCGTGGGCGCCCCTCACCGGCCTTGACCGCACCCTTTTCTCTTCCTCCAACGAAATCCTAAAGTCTGAAAAAGCCGTTGCCCTGACCACTGCTCCTCGTAAGTGGAGATGACCCTGGGCTTGGGTTGCGACCTTTCACTGTTGCTGCTGTAAGACGGTGCCACTCCTTAACCACTCCAGACACTGCTACACATTTTTTGAGCAGTTAATTTGAATACAGATAACTTCATTTTATCATCTTGGTCTTATTATCTTGATACTCAACTCAGGAAGTGAAACTCTTCGACAGAAAATTAGTTTGTTTAAAATAGTAATAATGGCCAAAGTTATCATTTAGTGAGCATCTGTGACAGACAAAGAGTATCTCATTTAGCTCCCCTAAGAACCCTGCGTTCCAGCTGCCGCTTTCCATTCAGTCACTCCACAAACAGTTGCTGAGCATCTAGGACCTGCTCTAGCCTCCGGGACTTTTCATTAAGACAGAGGCCCAGCTAAAGGACCTTATATTCTAGTTTGGGGGGACAGACAAATACGCAAAATAAATACATAATACTATAATATATTCAATAGTGACAAAAGCTATAAGAAAAAAGAAAACGGGCAAGGCAGATAGTAAAGGATGGGGGGGGTGTGTGCGCGGGGGAGGGCTGGTGCTGCTTAAACAGGGTAGTTAAGAAAGGCCTCTCTGAGGAAGAGAAATTTGAACAAAATCTGAGAGAGGTGAGCCGTGTAAATACACGGAGGAAGAGCCGTCCGAGCTGGAGGCACGGGTGGGCGAAGGCCTGTGTGGGGAGTGACCTCAGCAAGTTCCAGGAGCAGAGAACTGCGTGAAGCGGGCAGTGAGCACAGGAGCGGGGCAGCAGGAGAGGTCAGAGACTTAGCAGGGGCTTGCAGGCTCCCTCGGGCCTTTCGACTTTACTCTGAGGAAGACGGCAGCCACCGGAGGTGCTGAGAGTATGAGGAAGCTCAGTATCACGGCCTTGCTTCTGCGATCGGGCAGCGGAGCTGTGCGCACACGAGCAAGCAGGAGAGCTGCGTCCCCGTCCGAGCAGCCAGACTCCCCAGCACCGCCTCTAACCCGCTGTGGGAAACTGCCTTACAGACAATTTCCATGTCACTATGGGAATGAGATCAGGGAAAAAAGACCTTTCACAATGGCAAAAGTCTTTATAATCTGAAACTTTTTCCCCAGGTTTATTGAGATATGTAAGTCTAAGGTGTACAAGGTGATGATTTGATACATGCATAGACTGTGAAAGGACTATCACAATAAGGTTGGTTAACAGCTCCATCCCTAAAACTCTTAAACCACCCTCAATGCGTAATTCTGATTTTCTTGATTATAAGCTCACCATCTTCTATTTCCGACAACCTACCTGGCTCTCATTATAGCCAACTCCTTTAAATTACATGTGACTTTTTAAAATTAGAAAAAGATACGACTTCAGGCCAAACTAGAGGTTGTATCATGTTTTTATCCTTTCATTTCTAAAAGCACCACATACCTTTTACAGAATTTCTGTGTACTAAGCCAATATAGTGAATTCTTGGTAGTCAGTGACTGGCCTTTCTTCGTCAGGATTCCCTGGAGGCTGTGTCCATGGAAACAAGTTCTATCTGTGTCTTCTTCAGTCCAGTTGAACTGAAAACTTGAGGGGTTTTTTTTTTCAACAGTTGGTGTTGAATCAATTAGCGTGCTAAATTGTTTTTGTAGATTTACCACCATTTCTGGAAATGGAGGAAAAAAGAAAAGGAATAAAATAAAAACTAACGTTAAATCACAAGTTAAGTCTGTAGTTTACCTGACAGTAACGCATCAATGTTGGTTTCTTAGTACGACAAACGCACCGTGGTAATAAAAGAGGGTAACATTAGGGAAACGCACTGGATGAGGGCTGAGGGGAAGGAACTACTTTAAAAAGGTTAAAATGGTCATTTTGTTATGTATATTTTACCACAATTTAAAAAAACGAATAAGATCACGTAAAGGGAATTCTCCAAACAAAGCATTCTGAAAGTCACAGGAACACAGGACTTCAGATTTTGAGGGGAACTTAAGCTCTGTTTGGTATAGCGGCGTGCTTCTAAAATGGATTCCTATGGAGGCTCCTTATAGTGGATACGTCTTTGGCTGTGCCCTGGAACACTTGTTAAAGAAAAAATTACTTATGCTTCACTTTTCAAGTCAAAGTATTCAGCTCTTCTCCAACTCTGCTGCTGCCTGGCGTTAACAGGAGGAAACGCAACTTACCTCTTCTTTTGTACGCCACTGACCTGTCGATGGAGGAGTGGTAGAGTGGCTTTTCGCTCTTCCACACGAACCTGCACAGGGTAAAACAACAGCTGGAGCGGGATGGAGAAGAAAGGGACCTAAATACATTTCAGAGAAGTGTCTCTGGAGCAATGTCTGAAATGCCTGATATTCAGTGTAAAAGCTCTGGCTTCGGAGGACCCATTGGCATATGTCTACAGAGCTTATGTCCTAGAAGTAGGTAGCACTAAAGGAGAGAACAAAGCGACAGAATGATGTGCTCCTCCCAAGAGCCTCCCAGCTGCCATGAGCCCCCGAAGAAGCTGTTAATTATACGAAACACCGGAGGCATGGCTTCCCACACGTGAGGTTCCCCTGCTGGCTGTTCTCATGCAGTGAAGGCGCCTAAGAAACAAACGACGGGTTCAATCGCCCTCGTGCTGAGGAGTAAGCTGGCGGTTCTTCTGACACTGGTAAGCCACACAAAGTGAACAGTAAGGGCCAGACTTCCGTCATTTAATGCCTGGAGTCAATCCTGTCCCTGGTGGGAATGAGAAGGAACGGTCTGGATGCCAGCATGACGCAGTCCTAACGGTCGCATGCTGACCTGACCTACCGTCACCCGGGGAAGGCCCGGCAGGGAGGCGCCGCTGTGGAATGGAGACCCACGACAGACACAAGACATCGCCTCCTGAGCAAAACCCAAGAGTCATGTGGGCCCCTTCCAGACTGCGGATGGCCGGCCGAGAGTCAGGCTAGAGGGAAGCGACACGTCCCATCTCTACTTCGTTGAATTTTGCAAGCAGACGGCTGCTCTGGGACAAAGATCACGCTTCATGTTCACTTTGAGTCTCGTTCTCACTAACTCTGAGTTTCCTGAAGTGGGCGATTTTCATAATATGCAGTAAAAAATGAGAACTGCCTTCTTTTTGACCCCAGGCCACGTTCTTATTCTGAGAGGCAGTGTGGCAAGAAGAAGAGGACTGAACCAGAGGACCTGGGTCCACCCACCCCCGCCCCCATCAGAAGACACGGAAGGGTTACCAGAAGATTATGTGTAAACTAAACTTCAGCGAGCCACACCACATCTAAAATCTATCAGAAAGCTCGCCATTTACCCCTATGGCAAACAAGTTTGTGATTATTTCAGATTTCTGTTGTTGCTGTTTTCTTAAATAATAAGAGTAACAACATTCTCAAGGTAAAAAATTGCAAATAACAAAGAAGTTCCCTAAACACTCTTATTCCCATCTCTGGATAAACCCTTGTGAATGCCTAATCTAGATAGATTTTCTTATGCATTTATAATAAATGCCTAAGCAAGTAGGTGTATAGTCAACGAGGTATTGTTATTACTTCTTTGGGCTCATATGCTCAGAAAATGGGAAAGACAATCTAAAATAACAATACTCTGTTTATACTCCTTCTTCAACATTTAATTTACTCTGCTTACCTCTCCCCCAAACTACAAAAGCTACAAAAAACAGAGACATAGCACAAAGTCCTAATGTTTCCTACGGGAAACCACAGAGCCCGGCATCTAGTCTACACGATTTGTCTGTTTCAGCCTGCCCCACCCCCACTGTTAAAAGCTAAGGTGTAATTTACATAGTCGATTCAGCCTGTTCAGTGCAGTTCCGCTAGCTTTTACACACGCCATCACGTAGTCACACTGTGATTACTATATAGAACACCTCCATCACTCCAAAGATCTCTCAGGCCTCTTGACAGTCAACCCTTCTCCAAACCCCCAGATCTTGGATCTCAGGCAACTGCTGATCTGCTTTTCTGGCCTTATAGTTTAGCCTTCTCCAGGATGTCAGATAAATGGAATCATATTGCATGTAACCTTTTGAGTCTTTCGTGGAGCATAATGCATTTAAGATTCACACACAGTGTTGGATGTATAAGAATTTTGTTCCTTTTTATCGCTGAATACCACTCCAGTGTACAGATATATTAGTTTGTTTATCCATTCACCAGCTGAAGGGCATTTGGGTTGTTGCTAGTTTGGGGCCATTGTGAATTAAGCCACAATAAACATTCGTATGTAGATTTTTGTATAAGCTTGTTTTCATTCTGGGTAAATATCTAGAAGTGAAAACTACTAGGTAGTATAATAAGTGTACGTTAACTTTATTAGAAACGGCCAAATTTTCCACAGTGGCTGCACCACTTTGTACTCCCACATTTGGTATGGTCAGTGTTTTGTTTGTTCTGGTTTTTAGCCATTTGCATCGTGGTTTTAATTCGCATTTCCCTTCTAACAATGTTGAGCATCCCTTCATGTGCCATCCATACATCTTGGGTGAAGTATCTGTTTGAATCTTTTGTCCAGTTAAAAAACTGGGTTGTTTTCTTATTGTATGAGGATTCTTTATATAGTCTAGATATAAATCTTTATCAGATATGTGATTTGCACATATTGTCTCCCAGCCTGTGGCTTCCCATTCTCTTAATAGTGTCTTTTGAAGAGCAGCAGTTCACCTTTCTGATGACATCCAGTTTATCTTTTTCCTTTTCTGGATCATGCTTTAATAATTTTCATCTGACACCATGGAAGATGATGTCGAGAAGAATATAGAGAAAAATTAGAAATTTATGTCAACAGTGGGGGTGGGGCAGGCTGAAACAGACAAAGTAATCGGCATGCACAGGGGCTCTGCGCCCAAACACCAGTCAGTAGTGATCGACATACGCTACTGTGCTTAGCCCAAAGCATCTACTCTATGGAATGGGATCCTGGTAATGGATCTCCTGGACAATCTCTTCCCTGGGGCCAGTGACTTCCAGGAAAATAGCCACTGAGACCCAATGGCTAAAGAGACACTTGTTCTCAGACAAGGAAGAGGAAGAACTTATTCTTCTCTGGGTATCAGGGTAAGCTCACCTCTCAGCCCTTCTTCTTTACCCTTGTCCATCAAACATGAATAGTGAGAAACTGTCACTCCTCTCCCCTGTAAGGCAAGGGCCCTCCTCCCCACTGCGCTTTATTCATCCGTTAGTCTGTTTCTCTATTTAAAAGCTCTCTTAAATTAAGAAGAAATAACCTAGTTCTACCTGTGAAAATAAAAATTAAGTTCTTAGAGTATAAAGTGGGCATAATCATTCCTACATATAAGGAAACTAGAACTGAATGAATTATCATTTAACTTGAGGAACCTTGGTTTTTCTCAAAGGATATAAATGATTTGATCAAATGAGTATTACTGTAAATTTACATAAATTACAGAGATACTGACTTTTATTTCAAAGTCTCCAAATTTTAAAAATAGATATGAAACTGTTCAAATTAGAGATCAATAGAAACGTACTCTATATTAAATAAGATATCATATCTTTAAAAATTTATGAGCCAACTAGATTTCAGTGCACTGAGACTCAGAGGTTAAGTAACTTGCCCATGGTCACATAGCTAGTCTGCAGTGCAATCAGGATTCAAACCCAGCATGAAATCTCCGCTCTTTCCATTCTACAATAATGGACCTACGTCAGAATGAGAGTTCAAAGTCAGACGCTGAGACTGAACTGAATACAATCTCTTCCTGCTTTCCTTTGTTCTGGTTTCTTATAGGAACCTTTATTTTGGGACAACATTCCAATTAAAGAAAAAGTTAATTAGGGAACTAATATTTCTAGGAAAAATGTCACCAGGTTGATGAGTCTATACTGATGAAACTTCAGTTTTCAAATGTAAAGTAACAGACTTGAAAATAAAGAAGGTGAATCTAAAACTTGAAGAGATAACATACTTTGCCCTGGCTTCCTCCCATTTTTGTTTTTTCTCATCGAAAGATTTCTTCATAACTTGATACCATTTTCTGAAATCGAACCATGGCTTATCTGAAAAAAATGAAATCCATGATTATTAACCAAATAAGTTACATTATAATAATATACACTGTTCATCTGAATCTTCATTCATTGACGTAGCTAAACATTTACATAATAGCCCTTGGAAATTATGGATGGAATCACCGTCTCTGTACTCTAATATGACTCCTGAGCAATCAGTCTCTCCTTCCCCTGAGTTTCTACTGAGATCATAGCCCTAACTAGATTATACAGAAACCATCTTTTTATATGCCTGTTTTTCCTAGATTTAACTATTACCTCCTTAAGAACAGAAGACATATTTTGTTTGTCACTACACAATCACACCTCTTCCTCCCAACCCAACACCCAGCACAGTGCCTGGCACATATGTTCCGATATGACTGAGAATACATGGATTAAAAAACAAATGATTAATAAGTGTGTGAAATGGTACTATAGTAGCTGAATCCAGACTTCCAGTTTCGTCAGCTCCTGTTCCTGTTCTTCCTAATCCTAATCCAAATCTGAAGTTCCTAAGAGTAAGTAAGAAAGTGGATTGCACTGGACAGTTGGTGTGAGTGAGTGTGTGCTCAAGATGTCAAGGTTGGCGAGATAACAGATTTGGATGTAGTCAAGTACAGTCACTCCTCACTCCTCTATTCACTCTATGTGGGGACGGGACAAGAAGAAAAGATAAAATGAAGTGAAAGGTAAAAAAATATATATAGTGTGAGGAAGTCAGAAAAAAGGAAGGCTGATGGAAGGAAGATATTAGATATTCTCTAATGAAGAGTCTCCTTCAGTGTCTAGTTAAACATATTTGCAAGTGGCCAAAATAATCATCACTTAATCCAATACGGTCCTGTAGGCCACACACCTACAGAGAGGCAGCTACCACAGAGCTGTGTGTATAGAGGGAAATCATCATAATCAGTGGGACACAAGGTCTGGGACCTTAAGTTAGGTTATAAGTCTGTCACCAATGATGCGGGGAGGTGGGAGGGTGGGCGGCAGGGAACAACCACCCTTGCCCCGCTGACAGCACAGATTTATTTTGAGGATCAAAGGGAGATAATATGTCAAAGTGCTCTGTTTACTCGAAATATCGACAGAGTCCACAATGGCCCTTTAGCATGAGAAGGGACATCAGAAGACATCTTGTTCAACCTTTTGCTCTGTGGAGCCAACATGAAGCAACGTAACGTATAGAAGGAAGTATTTTGCACACAGCCGGAAAGAATACACACTGGTCGCTGCCATTAAATGCAAGTTCCCCAAACCAATGAATATATATGTGGAATAAAAAAAAAAGTCAAATTCAAAGAAAAAGAGAGTAGAAATGTGGTTGCCGGGGCTGGAGCTGGGGGAAATAGGGAGAGGCTGGTAAAAGGGTACCAAATTTCGGCTACATGATGGATAAGCTCTGAGGATCTCATGTAAAACATGGTGACTATAATTGGTAATACCGTATTGTATAATTGAAATAAGAGAGTAGAACTAAAATGTTTTCACAAAAAAAAAAAGTGGTGGATGTGTTAATTAACTGGATAGGAGGAATCCTTTTACAATGTATATGCATATCAAATCATTGCAATGTATACTTTAAATATCTTATAATTTGATATGGTGGTTATTTCTCAGTAAAGCTGAACATTATATAAAAAGGACAATGAACGTAAATCCTACTGAGAACATTATGAAACGAATTGAATTTAAGAATTCATGTATTTATCAAACTTTACTGAGTTGCTCTGAGGCCAGTCACTATGTTAGGCACTTAGAAATACATTACAAAAAAAAAGTAAGAAGCATTTGAGATCTTGCTTCCTGGCAAGTCATCAGTTTTGACTTAAACAAACTCATAAAAATCCTCTAAAAAAAAAGTAAGAAAGACATGGCCCCTCTCTCTAGAAGCCCACAATCTACCTATCTGTCTATCATTTATGTAGAACTTACCTTATGCCACATATTCCTCTAACACTTACAAACACTGACCATCTAAGTATGACACACATACTTAGTCCCCTAGTTGTAATGCAACGTGCTAAACATCTAACAGAAGTGTGGGCAGGAGGAGTCCTGGCAGGAGTGATTAGTTCTGATTCAGAAAAAGGTGAAGTAGGGAGCGGGTGTGAAGAGAAGGTAGAAGAACGTGTTTATGTTGCATCTTGAAGAATGAGGATGGATTTGCCAGGGACTGAGGAGTTCAGGGGTAGGAAGGGAAGGGCACTTCAGGCAGAAGGACAGGTGTGAGCAAAGGTTGAAGGCATTAAAGCAGATGGCGCGGTCACAGAAATGCCCGTAAGGTCATGGCCTAGTACAGCTAGTGAGCAGAAGCTGGGATAAAAAGCAAGCTGGCCTTTACACGCAGTAGGAAGTCACTGGACTTTTTAGTAACCTAGAGATATAATTAGATAGCTACATAAAAAAATAATCCTGGTACCAAAAAAAAAAAAAAACCAATTTCTCTATATATACATTTATATGTATACTTGCAGGTTCTCAAAGTTTTTTCTCTACATTTATCGCATCTTTTAATCCATTGTTTACACTTTGAATTTGATTGCTAAAAAAATTAAGTACCTTCTTTGTTCTCTTCATTATGTTTCTCAGCAATAGTGGACAGAGACCTGGAGATACCAACAAACAAGTCAAGTTGTTTAGGAATCACTTATTTGAAGACAGTTAAATTCTGAATTCTTCTGAAAAAGTACATAACAGCGCTTGAAACCGATGTCAACTTTAACGGAGAAGCAGTCGTTGAAACAGGGGAGGGGGCACTGCACGCACTGCCACCCTTTGCTGGCATCTGGGAGCGGCAGCATTTTAAGATTCCTTCACTTTCCAAAATAATCTTGGAGACACATAGTGCCGGGAGCCTAAAAGCATACAGGCATACAGATGAAGTGCCAAATGATTCTTTAGGATTTAGGTATGATGATTTAAGACTCAGGAATCAGTGGAACAATGAGAAACATGTCTATCTAAAAAATAGAAATAAAGCATGATACAGACAACTTACTAAGGTAGAAGGAAACCTCTGACAACTAGCTGAATCAAAATATTACGTAAGAAGTAATTGTTGCTATTAGTCAATGTTCTCTAACAGCTCAGAGTCCATTTTCTACTGAGATAACATATGGAGTCCTACACTCTGAATAATTAGGTAAAAACAATAGTTTTCTTCCTCATCAAATTGACATACACTTACCATTCTAAATTGTCATCCAGTAAAAAGAGCAGTTTCAATACTACTACGATGACAGCTACAGCTTGTACGTCATATTTAACAGTTTTTGCCATTTTAGCTACAGGATCAAATGTCAGAAAATCTACTTCTCCGATTCCTGCCATTTTTACCACCTGGCAGGTGAAACTGTGCATTTCATCTGTTGAAGGAAAAAAAAAACAGTAACACATGAATTAAATCTGAGAACACTTGTACGGTACCGGCAGCCGTCTTCGCTTAGCCCCCTTCTGGACGCTACAGCAAAGAGTTTACTTCTTTGCTCCCTCTTAAACTTGAGGGCAGACTCAGTCTTGTTTTATATGTCTTCCTAAGTGCAGCAATCTGCACATCGTTGGTGCAACCTACGGTTTATGGTGAAGAATGAGTAAAAAATAAAACTAATTTATGTTTAAGTAAAAAAATTCCAGTGATTAAAAATTGTTTTGTTTCACAGAGAAACAGAACATATATAACAATGATAATTTAATATGCATCTAAGTAGTTTTATATGTCTACCAAATTCTAATAGCTAAAGTTTTCACCAGGCTTTTATTTGTTCTTTCAAAAAATGTTTATTTAGCAACTACGATGTTCTGAGTATTGGAGATAAAACAGAGCCCTCTCTTTGAGAAGCTTGCTTTTTAGTAATATGTACATATTTGAATGCAATGTGATCAGGGCTATGACAAAGATAAGATGGTGCTTTGGGGAAATGCAGATAGTTCAAGATAAGGCTTTGGTGTTACCTGTGGAGACATGGGCAGGGCCAGATCATGAAGGTCTTTGTGTGATAGAGAATTTGGGCTTATTGTTACTGACTATTTCAACTTACAGATTCCATATGAATTATTCATGGGCTTCATTCAGGTACAAAATGATTAGGAAATACAAAATTAAGCTCAAATCAACAAGCATTTATTGAATGCCTACTATGTAAAACACACTGTGCTATAATGAAGAAAACCAGAAAAATAAACAATAGCTAGGACTCTTACCTTCAGACACATATACTTATAACATGAAAAAAAAATTAATTTTAAAATACGTTCATTAAAATTTTACATATTACCTGTACAGAGTTATAGAGGTTATAGTCTCTTCTAATTTAAAAGCTGACATTATTATAAAGAATGGCATTTATTGAAACTTGTCTCCTATATTTCTTTTAAAATTAATATCCTGAACTGCTTCTCTTACACCAAAAGTATGGAATAATAAAAAGTCAAATGGAAGAAATTATGAGAGAGGAAGTGGGCATAGCAGAGAAAAACTAAAGGGTACAGAATCCTGAACCAGAGCACAACGTGGAAAGACCAGCTTTGAGATGTGAAGACTCGGCTGCGGGTATGCTCTCTGCCAGCTACCAGTTAGGTGTGTCCTGAGCCCGGCTAGTCTCAGCTGTAAATGAGAACACCCACCTGCCCTCCCTTCCCACCTTCACGAATGAGGTCATATAAGTGAAAGCACTGTGGAAATGCTAAAGTTCCCCACAAATTATATATATGTGTGACAGCCGCCAGAAGTTCTGCCAGGCGCGTTTGTTTGTCCCAGGATGAGGAACAATACTAGAAAATGTACTTGGAGCTCATTCAAAGCCATCAGAGTCAGTGCTTACTCAGTAAGGGTGTGTGCGACACGCTTGCTGAAACCTTTCTATACAGTTCCAGAGACCACGTGGTCACACGAAAAGGCTCCGGGCAGGGGCCATTTGTTGCCACAGCATACTTAAAACTACTTTCGGCTTTCTGGGAACCCTAAAACCTCTCTATGTAAATGTGCCAAGTACACAGGTCTCTTCGACTAGCGGCACCACTGAACTGATGGTACTGTGGAGAGTACATCCATACATGTGAAATGGAGACGTCCTGGAGGCCTTATATCTTATGGGTGGTTAGCAAAGCAATGATACATTTTAGAATCTAAATCCTAAGGTGCAAGGACTATCACATCTTAATTTGTAGATCTATTCTGTTTATTGTTTTTCCCCTACTATTAAGTAATACAAACTCAACATAGGACATTTATAAGATACATAAAGGTAGGAGAAAGGAAGAAATGCATTACCATAACTTACAAATAAGTTAGTATTTTAATATTTTGGTATATTTACTTCTAATTTTTTTTAATATTTCATTTTATGTAGCTATGGTTATAATATATATAATTTTGTAATGTGGCTTATTTCATTGTTTATTATAACATAAACATTTTCCATGCTTTTCTGAGCTCTTCACAAATATGATTTTAAAAGCTGCATAATGTTCCACTGAATATATACACCACTGTTTACCTAACCACAAACTTTCTGTTGGATATTTGAGTTGTTTTTGATTTTTCGGTATTATAAATAAGGAAGTCAATAACATTTATGTATAACTTTTTATATTTCAAATTACTTCTATTGAACAGTTTGTGAGAAATGAAATTTCTCTATCTTGATTCTTTATAATACTGTCTCCAAAAAGGCACTTAATAAACTTCACATGATAGGAATGTCTCTCTGCACATTACAATGGATTTAAATCTACTTGTTACTCTCAGGAAGAGTTAGGTGAGAATCACTGCTAAACTTCACGCACTGGCCAGAAAATACTGCCCCACACACCCATGTCCAATTGAGCTGCACGCTTGCCATAACCCAGCTATGTCACTTATATTTTAGTAACATCTGCTATTTCTTCCACACCTGGAATTCCCTTAATGAGTTCAAGATTTTGAAGTACATGAGAGAACCCAGGAACTTTCCATATTTTGAAAGAACCATCAAAGAAGTAAATTTTAAAAAAGCAAAATCCAAAACGGTAATTCTGGAATCTTACTCAAATAGTGATTTTTGAAATCTCAATGAAACACCTACATTCCTTAGCTTAATAAGTAATATATTTGAAAAGTTTATATTATTTCTATTCCTTTAAAAATACTGTAAAATTATAGACTTAATATTTATATTCATGTATATATCACTACATATTTATATTTATTTAAAATTTTACTATATTTATGGTTTTATATATTGTTTTTCTCGTGTACCTATTTTCCTTTTCTATTAAAAATATACTCAATCACATTTTTGACATTGCTTAAGCAATAGTATAGTCACACCATGTTTGCATTTTCTCTTAAAAATGAAAGTCCTGAACTTCTCACATTTCTAGTTTAGCAAGAAATTCAGGAATGGATTCCATCGGCAGATTCTATCGGGTTACCTACGTCTTGGTATATTGTGAACAAGGCCTAGCAAAGCTCTTCCCAGTCTGTTTCATCGCCTTAAAAGAGTTCGCTGGGATGTGAACAGACTTTGAGCTCCATTTGTTTTAGGAACTGGAAATAGCATTATGTTACCAAACAATAAAACTGTTACCATAAATTAGCTTATAAGATTTTTAAAAATTAGAATTCATTATGTAATAACCATCCTTTGTATGACTGAAGAAGTGCTGCTTTCATGGGGGGTGGGCACCCAGGTCATTGGTAATGCGCTGGGACATCTGTTACTTGCTCTCAGCAAACTTACTGTAAAAACCAAATATTATTCTCTCAAGCATATTCCTCACATCAAAATAGGACTCTTTATTTATGAACAGTGCCCTTTAAACCACTTTAAGTGGTCGGAAAGATTTTAAGAAAGGATTCTGACATTAAGCTTCACGTTCTATGGACCCTGTCGGCTGGCTCTACTGGTCTGTGATTTGAGAGGATTCTTCTATATTTCACTCATTACGATTCTAGTAGTAGAAGCTTCCTCATCAAATACCGCACTCACCGGGGAGATTGACTTCCATCAAGTATTTCATACACAAGATGTCTGGATGAAGATAGCAGTCTTCAGTTATATCTGGGAAACGAGGCAAATCTAAAAATGTGGCAACTTCAATCATTTTTTTATAGATATCCTCGTAGTCAGGCCAAGACTGAAAGAAAAGCAAGATAGTCAAAGAAGCAACTTTTACAACATAAATTCTTAAAAAATATTTCTGATTTTAAAAGTAATATGTATTCATTGACTAAAATTGGGGATGTGGAGAAAAGCATGACTACCCATAAATTCCTAATATCCTAATTTAGCACTTTTAAACAGTAATAACATTAAATTTAAAAGCCACTAAAATTCTATTTGGCTCATAAAACTCTACTGGCCTTGCCCATGATATAGCAAAATCGTTACTTCTTGCCAGTCATAGAAGAACGGGGGGAAGGGATAAAGCTTTGACCCAAATGGAGTTACAGTGTTGTCATAACTGCTCTCACGCAGGCACCTTCTTTTTAATCTTCAAATTCACAGCTAACAAATTTAGCTCATTGTTACATTCATGTGCTTCTATGTGGGAGATAACACCAGGGTTTAAGTCCAATAGTTAAAAATCCACAGTTCGACTTCATATTAAACTCTCCCATACAATAACATAAGATTCTCTTATAGAATTCAGGAAAATCTATAAGCTAATACCATTAAATTAATTCTGCTTACTTTAAGATTACCCCTGTAGTTTACTGGGTATGCTACTTATATTTTTACAATTTATAAACATTTGTGATATTAATACTACATATAATTTTTCCCCATTTACTCATCTGTTCACATAGAAATACAGAATGTAGAGTCTATTCTATGCAAGGTACTTTGGGAAATACAAAGATGAATAAAACAATCCCGTCAAGGAATGTATAATCTCGAAAGGGAGATAAGGTATGCAAAAATGACTACAGTACAAGATAGAAAGCTATCAAATACCACGGTAAGGTTAAAAAAAAAAAAGCTATGGGATTTCAGAAAACGTAACATTTCTGATATGGTAGAGCCCTGTTCGATTTGCATACAAATATTCTGGAAACCTGTTTGGCAATATTTTAAGCTCGAGCGTTTGCACATTCTATGACAAAGCAATTCTACTCCTAGCTACATATACCCAGGAAAAAAATGTGCATGCATGTCCACAAAACCCATGTACTAGAATTTACATAACAACACTTTGTAAAAGCCCCAAGCTGGAAACTCCAAATGCCATTGACGATAGGACAGACAGGTAAATTCTGATACAGTCTCACAATGGAACACTATACAGCAAAGAAATGAATGCTCTACAAGCAACAATATGAATGAATCTTCAAAACATAATGTTAAAAGAAGCCAGATGCAAAGAGAATGATTTGATGTATATAAAGTATAAAACTCAGCAACTCAGCACCAAGCTTCTGTACGGTCGGAAGTCAGGACAGTGACTACTCTTGGTGTAGGGGAGGAAACGACTGGAAGTGAGCAAAAGGGTAGAGCTTCTGGGCTGCTCAGAATGTTGATTCTCCATCGGGGGCTGGTTCAGTCTGTGGAAATTCATCAAGCTATGTACATCTGTGATATGTTCACTTTTCTGTATGTGCAGTCTACTTCAATAAAAAGTTTTTAAAAAGTGGGAAGAGATAGAATATAGAAATAGAGAGATTGCCAGTTAAGTGAACTATTTTGTGTAACAGAATCACTTCATATATGGCCTTGTAAGAGAAATATTCTAATTGGCAAATTCACAGTGGGAAAGACCTTAGGATAGGTGAGTGTGGTCCAACTTTCCAAATCCCTAGCAGGCAGGTGTCTGGCCCTTCTTGTACATTCCAGTGATTGGGACGCAATGCCTTCCCGGAAGGTGGTCGATTCCATTTTTAATGGGTCTAGTCATTTAAAAGTTCTTCCTTATTCTAAGTGAAAATCTGCTGCCCAATTTGAGTTTAGTCAATTAACCCCCCAAGTTGTTTTTAAAAATATTGCTGTTAAGTCATGTCTTGCCCATCTTCTAAATGTATGAATGTGGAAGCCAACTGAAGAAATGAATATTTCTGTTAAATTTTACTTTGTTAAATTCAGCTCATATGCAATTTCAAAGCACAAAGGAATGCTTTATAATGGTACAGGGGTATGCTTACAGAAAACAATCATACTATTAATTTTATAACTGTGCCTGATTTTACTTTGTTCAAAGCTATAATCTTTGTATAATATTTATTGTGATACCACTATTTCAATATCTAAACTCTTTTGAGTTTTATATTATATTATTAATACACGATTGTCCATAACTGAAGAATACAAGGAAATTTTTGTCAATTCAAAGTAGCAAGGTAGCCTTTTAAGTTTTTTTAATGTTGATATAGTCATTCTACTTGTATAGTAAAATACTATTAATTGTATTCTATTTTGTGAATTGAAAAGAGAAAAAGGGAAACCACAAATTCTCAGTGACCTGTGCAAGAAGGTGTCTTCTTTTTTCTTTATAAAATTCATCCAATTAGACCTCTGCTTCATTTTATACAGAATTTGAAGCCTATTTTCAGCTTAAGACAATTTTAACGTCACTGACAAGATTTATGGCAACTCTAATCATTTAAAATAATGCAGGTAGGAGATGCGATTAAGTGCTTTTATCTGCAAACAAAACAAACACTGGAGCAGTGAATGTGGCCTTAGAAAAATAACCATCTCAAAAAAGTGATTTAATGGATGACAAGTTCATGAGGGGTAATTGTAAGGTTATTAATGAATAGGAATCCAGTAGGCTAACACGGTTTAACATATTTTCAAAATGTCCATGCTAAAAGTTGGTATATCGAATTAAGTATCTTGTGATAAATAGGTCACCATACTTTCACATATGAACAGAGGATAAAATAATTACTAATAATACAAATCTACATATTTATATTATAGTTTACAATTGATTCTAGATTATCCTAATCTCTCTCCAGTATGGTAGATTTCACTTCAAAAAATTTCATTTATTTTTAAACAGACTTTTTCTTTTTGAATAATACTGAAAACATTTTTTTGAGCTGAGTAAAAGGTTTTTCATATCATTCTACTTATTTTTTATTTATTTATTTTTTTACCAGTCTTCTATTGTTGTTATACATTTAGGTTGTTTCTAACTTTCATACTAGTATAAGTAATGCCATGATGAATATCATGATGAAATGTTTAGTAATATTGAATTTGACTAAAAGTAATACATGATCATTATAAAAATTATGAAATATAAAATGTATAATAAAGACAAAAAAAACTGCTCACAATTTAGAGAAAGCCACTATTAGCATCTTGGTGGACATCTCTTTTAGCCGTTTTCGGCGTATCCATATTTATAACACTGGGATTTAAATCCGACAGCCTCTTGACACCTCTGCTTGGATCTCTCTCAGGTGTGTCAAACTTACATATTCCAAACTGAATTCTTCATCTTCCGCACTCCCCAGTCAGTGCTCCTTACCCAGCAATCACCCTTGACGGCTCCCTTTTCTCGCACACCACATCTACTCAATTATGTAGACTGCTTGGTCCACCTCGAAGGTGGGCCTCATGCTGCTTGTTCTCATCACCTCCACTGCTACTGTCCTACTCGACCCGCCTGCACCCCAGACCTGGGGCCACCAGCCTCCTGATATCCCCAGATCTGCTTTTGCCTTTGCAACTAGTAGCAAGAGTGCAAATCTGATTTGTCACCCTTCTAGTAAAATCTAATAGTTTACACTGCTCTTAGGCTAAGCTCCTGTCTGCCTGAAAACCTTTGTAAGTTGATTTAGGTATATATGGTTTTGTTTCCTACATTTTCACCTAACATTAGATTTTGTGAGCATTTTTTTAATGTCATGAGATAGCCTTTTAAAACATCATTTAAAGTGACTGGAAAATATCCCCCTCTATGAATCCATCATTTCCTTATTATGGATATCTGTTAGATATACATTATATGCATACATGTTAAGCAGCTATTAAAAGTGTTTTCACAGCTGTTCTATGACTTAGGAAAATACTCACAGTACAATATTGAGTTTAAAAAAAGTATATATTCTTCAATCTGAAGTTTGCAAATATGTTGATGTACATTAAAAAAGACAATAAAAAATACCAAATATTAATGGCATCCAGGAGAAACTGGATTGTGGATGATTTTAATTTCCTTCTTTATAGATTTGATTATTTTCTACATTCCTCTTAATCATTCTAAATATATTACTTTCATAATAAGAAAAAAATAAAAATTCAAAAACGTATTACAGAGGTATAAAAAATTAAACAGAATTACCGCAGGATCCAGCAATTGTACTTCTGGGCATAAGCCCAAAAGAACTGAAAGCACGGACGCAAACGGACATTCGTACACCCACGTTCGTAGCAGCGTTATTCACAACAGCCCAAAGGTAGAAACACCCCAAATGTCTATGAATGAATGAACACATGTGATCTAGCCATACAAGAGAATATTTTCAGCCTTCAAAAGGAATGAAATTTGACACACGCTACAACATGAATGAACCTTAAAGACATTATGCTATGTGAAATAAGCCAGATACAAAAGAACAAATATTGTAAATTCTATTTAAATGAGGTACTAGCACAGCCAAATTCACAGAGACAGAACGTAGACTAGTGGATCTCAGGGGCTGGGGGACAGGGGCAATGGGGAGTTAGTGTTTTTTGGGTACCAAGTTTTGGTTGGGAAAGATGAAAAAGGGCTGGAGACGGATGGTGGTCATGGTGGTCATGGTTGCACAATGTGAATGTACTTAATTCTACTGAACTGTACAGTTAAAAATGTTTTAAATGGTAAATTTTATGTCTATTTTACCACAATTTTAAGAATTAAAAAAAACCTAAATAACATCTAAAGAAAAAATAACTGAACATATTAGAGATGTCATAATTAGAATAATGAAGCTGAAGATTTAAAAAAGTCAACATATATAAAATCTACTTTCAAAATCTGTGCTACTTGCTAATATCTATCTTTAACTTATATAAAATATCTTAGCAACAGAAACGTATTTGGGAGGGGCGGAATTATTAAACTCTAACTAATAAATATATAACACAGGATATGGCAGTGCCTTTCCTAGTAGACAAAATATACTGAGTAAAAAGGAAATATAA